CCTGGGCACCAGACTTTTTACAGTACTCACTGCCTTGTACGCAACTAACCCTGTGAAGAAAACAATTTTTAAAACCCTGGAAGCTAATGTTACAAGACCATTTAGCACTGAAATAAATGCAAGTTCTAGAACATCTGCAGCCAAAGTGAAAGTAAATAATGACAGAATGTGAGTCATGAGTAGTTTGCAAAGCTTGTAAACAAAGCATCCTCCTAAATTCAGAGCCAGGCCTGAGAGTTGGGTACCAATTAATCAGCCCTTAACTCTATCACACACAAAAGGACACATGTCCTCATTAGCAAGCCATGAGGGGAACTTAGCTAACTGATTGTCACTTTATTATCTGGAGTTCACTTAAAACTGAAATAAAAAGCGTGTCCCCCAAAGCACAGAGCACTCATTCTCACTTTGTTTGAAAGAATCACTTCACTGCTAGTGTCAACATGAAGCTTAACATCCACTGGGAAAGGCAAAACAACCCCGCTCGTAACTGAAGAGATGAGCCCAACCAGCCAGGAATGTCCCTTCCATCCCTCTCCCGGGGCTTGCTGGTCACTTTCTTTCTGATGGTAGTTGTTGGTGCAGACCTCACATCCTCTCCTGGCCAGTTGCTCTCCAAGGGCAGGGTTAATGCCTCATTCTTTCATCCCTGACATTCCCGTGTCTAGTATGTGGCCTGGATGTAGTAGGTGCACATTAAACATCTGTCGTGGTATGAGTGGATGAGCATCTTTCCCAAAAGGCCAGTGTTCACCCCCGGGGGCCCTGTCTAGGCAGAGGATGGACCAAAAAGGGATCTGGGTCAGGAGACAGAAGGTTTGGCTCCCATCGCAGACTCTGCCACTCACAAGCACATGCTCATGTGAGTCGCGTCTTCCGTTCTGGTGTTCCCATCTCTAAAACAGGAGGAATACCTGTCCCCCCACTTTTTAAGGTTTTGTGATGATGCAATGGGAAAGAAGCACCTGGAAAGGGGTTCCACAAGTGTGATGTGATTCCCTTCACACCTCAGAGTGGTGGTTCTGCAATTGAGAAGGCAGGACAGTGCAGGACCACAGTTAGAAATGGAGCACAGCTTACTCTCAGAAAGCCAGTAGGTAAGCAGAGTGGATCTGGAGGTATAATGAATGACTGCAAAGTCACAGAAGACAAGGCTGCCTAGGCTGTGCTCTCTGCACATGGGAACTAGAAATCAGAGTACAAACTATGGAGCCAGCTGATAACACAAATATGGGAGTGGCCTGCTGTAAGGCAATAGGGAATGGTGGGGCCTGTGGCCAACTAGAGATTATACTCATGCTCTGCCTCAGCCATTTGCAAAAAGATTTAAAACTTACACCCCCTGAAACAGCAAAACGCATCTATGGCCTGCTGGCTGGGAGTCTGAGACCCCTGTGGATGGTTGTATCAAGCATGTCTTTTTTGTTTTTTTCAAATGGAGTCTCGCTCTGTCGCCCAGGCTGGAGTGTAGTGGTGTGATCTTGGCTTACTGCAATCTCTGCCTCCCAGGTTCCAGCAATTCTCCTGCCTCAGGCTCCTGCGTATCTGGGATTACAGGTGTGCGCCACCACACTGGCTAATTTTTGTATTTTTTAGTAGAGACAGAGTTTCACCATGTTGGCCAGGCTAGTCTCAAACTCCTGACCTTAGGTCATCCACCCACCCCAGCCTCCCAAAGTGCTGAGATTACAGGCATGAGCCACCGCAGCCCAGCCACGAGCATGACTTTTTATTCCTATGCTTTGACACTTGGGGCCTTCTCGACACTGGAAAGACTGCCCTTCCTAGGCAGGGCCCCCTAATTCCTAGAGATAGTAAACAAATAGTGTGCCTTTCATATGCAAAGCAACCAATCCAGAGCATGTAACCCAGATGCCTCCTTGATCGGCCTCTCACACTGTAGCCCACTACCCATCTGCCCTAAGCACCCCAGGGGCTGGCCAGACAACTAGGAACAGTCCCTATCCCCCAGAGCCTGCTGAAATGACTCAAACCAGCCCATCTGAAGCCTGTTTACCCTGCTTGCCTTTTCCAAAGAAACCACAGTAAAGGTTCTTGCCCACGTTTTCCCCCTGGGCTGCCTCCTGACCCTGGCGCTCCCCCTACACGGCCCTGCATGATTACCGCGTGCCCCCTCTGCTTAGGAACTGTGGGTAACAAAGCATCTCTCCAATGGCAGTTGTCTCCTGACCTGTTGGCCTCATTAGGCCTAAATAATAAGAAAACCTACATGTTCATACATCTGTAAACCCCGCTGAAGCACAGATCATCATGGCTACTTTATTTTCCCCAGTGAATCTTGGCACCTAGTACAGTTCAGGTACATTGAAGACACAATTTCTTCTTCTTCTTCTTTCTTTTTTTTTTTTTTTTTTTTGGAGACAGAGTTTTCCTCTGTCACCCAGGCTGGAGTGCAGTGATGTGATCCCAGCTCACTGCAACCGTTGGCTCTGGGTTCAAGCGATTCTCCTGCCTCTGCCTCCTGAGTAGCTGGGATTGCTGGCATGCGCCATCATGCCCAGCTAATATTTGTATTTTTAGTAGAGATGGAGTTTCACCACATTGGCCATGCTGGTCTCAAACTCCTGACCTCAGGTGATCCACCCGCCTTGGCCTCCCAAACTGCTTGGATTACAGGTGTGAGCCACCATGCCCGGCACAATTTCAAACTAATCGATGAATGAACGGGCATAGTGATGAAAGCAAAGGGGCTGGGCAGAAGCATCTATTTGGCTACTTGGATCCCCTACACTTCAGCCTCACGTCTGCAATTGCTTCAGGACACTAAGCGCTGCACGTTCCTCAGTTCTGCGGCTGGCATAGATGCAGGCAATCGGGCAGGAGCCAGCCAGAGGGAGTGGCACGAGTTCACGCTGGTAGGAGTAAGCGGTACTTAAACTCTGAGGCTCGCCTCCCCGCTGGCATTCAGCTTTTCAGGCAGCTCCTAAGTCGGGGGTCGGGGGAAGTCTTTTCTTGTAATGGCCAGTCTTCTGGCTAACCCTGGCTATTTGCCTTATTCAAATTCTTAGAAAGAGATGGCCATCTCAAAGTGTTTCTGTACCCATTGATAAAAGGGGAAAAGTCAGAGAGAGACCTCCTAAGCCACCTTCAGTCTCTGGGACCTGCCCACGACAGGCTCTACAAAGGGAGACAATCAGGTCACCCCAAGCCTCCCTGTGTCTGCAGTGGTACAGTGGGCCGTCCCCACACCCCTGAATAACCGAACTGCATTGGTTAATAAACTGAAAGCTGAGCTAGAGAACCTGTGTTGCTCTTAATCTTGACCCTTTAAAATGCATCAATCTAGCCAGGCATGGTGGCTCACACCTGTAATCTCAGCACCTTGGAAGGCTGAGGGGGGCGCATCACTTGAAGTCAGCAGTTTGAGATCAGCTTGGTCAACATGGTGAAACCCCAACTCGACTAAAAATGCAAAAATTAGCTGGGCATGGTGGTGGGTGCCTGTAATTCCCACTACTCAGGAGGCTGAGGCACAAGAATGGCTTGAATCTGGGAGACAAATGTTGCAGTGAACTGAGATCATGCCACTGAGCTCCAGCCTGGGCAACAGAGTAAGACTCCATCTGAAAAAAATAAAAAACAAATGCATCAATCCGCTCTGTTCTACTTGAAAATGAACTGAATTTCTCTGATCACGGGCCCTTGGGTGTCATTCTCAGCATCACCATCTCCTTCCCAGGTTCTGGAAACAGGCCGAGAGAAGACAGGCATAGAGTAGGCTTGTCTGGGAAGTACCTGAGGAGGGTGGAGAAGCCTGTGTTTGCTGTTTCTGATGAATGCCATTGGGTTACTTAGCGCTCAGCAGTGAATGGCTCCCTGAGGGCCATTCCTTTCCCAGGCTTTGGATGGAAGGACAGGAAACATTCGACCACCGTGTCTAGACAGCAAGGCTAGGGAATCCAGGGAGCTGCCCAAGAGCTCATGTGGCGGACAGTCATCAGGAGGGTAACTGCAACCCAGAACAGACCCAGTTTAGATCTTATCATAGGCATTATCCCAGTTTACTTATTAAGCTCACCCCTATTCTCTTCATAAGTATTCTGGTTTGTAGTCACCTTCAACATCAGGGAATTTTGCAAACAGGAAAGTCTGAGGCGGGAGGCTCATACGCAACAGAGGCTGGTCACTTTGTACAAATAGAAAGGGCTTAGCAAACATCCTGGAAAAGGTCTGGTGGCAGGAACAACTCACCAAAGGGAGCTGAGCCTGGCCTTGGCCCTGGTGGGCTCTGCTCTGAAAGTGGAGTTACCTGGGCTGGTGGGGGCAGCCTGGCCCGAGCCTGCTCCACTCACAGCCTCCCCACCCAGGAAGAGCCTGCTCATAGGCAGCATTTATCTTCCCTGTTGAGGTCTCAAGCCAGAGTTAGCAAGTCCAGCAAAGGGCAGGGGCATGGAGGAAAGGATTATGATGTGTTCCCGATACAGGGTCCAGGGGTCCCACCAATCCATCCTCAGCACATGCCTGTACTACAATCCCATTCAACAATACCTTGGGTTGCCATGGGGACCCTGGACAATTTCCCATTTGTGTGTTTTTTTTTTTTCCTTCCTGGTTGAGATCTTGTTTCCGTCAAGATGAACTATTTATCTGTGTTGCATGAAATGTCATGGGTTGTGGTCAAAACCAGGACCAACCCACGCACAAGAAATAATAACCCTTTGATGACACTCGCACACAAGCTTCCCGAATCTTTAGAGGTGGTCTGTGATTCATTTTCTTCTTCCAGCACTGAGCTTGCTCTCAAGGAGTATTTAACCCAAAAGGGAACTGGCAGGAAATACCCCCAGTAGCCTAGGTCTGTCATAACAATTCCTGCTTGAGTTAATTGACCAAGTGACCTGTGGACCTGTGTCCGCTCGCCAGAGGCAGAGCAAACACTTACAAGGTAAAAGGTAGTGAAATGTTTCACCCTGTGGCCTTACATGAAGTTTAATGAAGCTACAAAATGCTCAAAGTGTCCGGTGTTGAAGGAATCTCTGTTTTGTGAATGAAAACTTCCAAGTTATTATTATTATTTTTATATTAGCTTAGCCATCATGCAAAACTTACTGGTGAAGCAGTTAATAAAACACACATATCCCGTGGAAGGGTTTTGTACATTTTAGTCCTTACAAATAACAAAGCAATGATAAACCCTGCGCGGTCCTGAGAGGAAGTTCCTTTGCTTCTTAACGCTTCCAGTCCTGGCTCTTTGGGGGCTCATGTGTTATAAATTCTGGAAGCTCTTTTAGCTGCAGTTTGAGCATCAGATGAATCTTCTTCCTCTTCCTCGGTTCGCTTGTGTTTTAAAAACAAGTCAGACTTTAAGAAGCGGCTGTAGCTGTCGTACTTCATGAGATTAAAGATCTAAGGAGGAAAAGAAGAAAAAGTCTGAAGACTTAGGCTAATCCAGGCCATAAATCATCCTATCAAATATGTATTAGATACCTGCCATGTGCCAAAGAATACGGATACGTGCGAAGGATACACTAAAAAGGCTCAAATAAGTCATATGCTAGACAAGGCAGATTTCCTGGATATTTCTGGTCATTATGAAATAATCTCAATGGAATATATAGACAGTCGTATGAACAAATATGCCTTTATGTTCCATAGAAGTACAGATTCACGCAGCACTGATTCAGAGCCTTGTACCAAGAAGTCCTTCAAGACTCTCCATTTTACTTGCGTAGATAACACAAGGATGTATTTCTCCAAGAGCTGAGACAGCCAAATAGAAACTATTTCTGTAGAGGCAGTGGTGTTAAAAAGATCACTGATGTATCATATGATGCCAGTATTGTTAAGACTCCCAGTAAGTCTGGCATCCGAGATCTCAAACAAACCTATTATTGCGCCAAGAGTCAAAATGAGGTGTACTCACTGCAGGCAGGGCAGTGAAACTATAATCTTAGCAAGGAAACAGGTCCCAAATAAGGAATAGAGCAGCCGGCTGCAGAATGTCAACATCTGTGACATAACTAGAATGAAACAACTCTAAGGTATGTCGGGTGGATGAAGAGGACCCCCAACAGAGCTGAAGACCCCCAGATTAGAGCCCTGCCCCCGCCGGCATGGCAGGTGCTCAGATGGCTGTCCCCAGGCACAGTAGCTTCCTCTGGCCTCCACCGAATCTCTCTTCTGGGCCACAATCCTTGTGGCCAGCATTCCAGTTTCCCCCATTCCTACCCAATCCTGTGCCATCTCCTCCCTTGCCCCATGAAAGGGGCAGGGAAAGGAGAAACACAGAGCCTTCTCCAGCTGTCGAGGGGCATGATCTTTTTCTCATCCCTTGTCTCTATCTCTCTCAGATCTTTCCACTTAACTTTCAGAACATTCTGCAACTAAAAATCCACACGGTTCACCCTGGTACATGGCACAAACACAGGCTCAACCAAATGGAAAGTTCCAGAGATGTCAAGAATGTCTCTGACTGCCAGGCAGGGTTGTCAAGTGGGTAGGAAACCCTGACATCTTTTAAGGCTGCCCTCTCCCAGCACACACAAACTATTTTGTAAATTAAACATCTGAGGAAGCTGGGCGTGGTGGCTCACACCTGTAATCCCAGCACTCTGGGAGGCAGAGGCAGGTGGATCACTTGAGGTTTGGAGTTCGAGACCAGCCTGGCCAACATAGTGAAACCCCGTCTCTACCAAAAATACAAAAATAAGCCAGGTGTGGTGGCATGTGCCTGTAATCCCAGCTACTCGGGAGGCTGAGGCAGGATAATTGCTTGAACCCAGGAGGCAGAGGCTGCAGTGAGCTGAGATTGCACTACTACACTCCAGCCTGGACAACAGAACAAGACTGTCTCAAAAAATAAAAATTTAAAAAGACCAGGTGCAGTGGCTCATGCCTGTAATCCCAGCACTTTAGGAGGCTGAGGAGGGCAGAGAACCTGAGGTCAGGAGATGGAGACCAGCCTGACCAACATGGAGAAACCCCGTATCTACTAAAAACACAAAATTAGCCAGGTGTGGTGGTGTATGCCTGTAATTCCAGCTACTTGGGAGGCTGAGGCAGGAGAATCACTTGAAATGGGAGGTGGAGGTTGCAGGGTGAGCCTAGATCGCACCATTGCACTCCAGACTGGGCAACAAGAGCGAGACTCCGTCTCAAAAATAAATTAATAAATAAATTAAATAAATAAAAATGAAAAATAAAACAAACATCCGAGGGACTCAAAGGACTCAGAACATCTGCTTGGAGGTGGGAGATGCCTCAGGAGGCAACTGGAACGCTCACATTTTACACCTTCCTCTTCCCAAGATGGCTTCAACCACAGCAGAACCGCCTGAGTCACTCTGCTAGAGACAGAGCCCACAACCCAGAGAAAGACCTGGGACTTTAGCTTTTCTTTAAACTGTTAAACATCACCTGGTGCCCTTCTAGTCTTGCCTGAGTCCTCTGGCTGCTCAGCAAGACTGAAGCTGCCCCGCAAAGCTCCTGTCCTGTGCCATGCCACGGCACTCATCCATCTTGCAGCCATCCAGTAATTCCAGGTGTGACTGGAATTTGCTGAGGTTTGGAGAAAAAAACATTTTTTTTAATGCCAGCAAATACAAAAATCATGGCTAAGGGTGAGGTGGGCGATGAGAAGTAGCATCACTCTGTCATGGTCCCCGGCAATGTGCTAAGCAGGCGTCACACCTGCATATTCAGCCCTTGCAGGCACGAGAGCCCCCACTGGGAACTTTCAGATGCCCACCTAGTTCAAAGTCCAATGAACGCTCAAATGTGACTAATGAACCAGGTGCACAAGGGGCCCGCCTGGCACCCAGCCTCAGCCCTGTACCCACTCCCACCCCAGGTCCACATAGATGGGACCCATCGCTCTGAGCAGGATGCAGTGCGACCCAAGCTTCTCGTGCGAAGTCTTTACATGTGGGAGAGGAACATCCTGTTTGCCTGTAGTGGCTCTGAGGCTCAGACTTCAAAGGAGAGAAAGAAAAAAAGCCAGTGCTGGGGGCACCCAGGGCAGAGGAGGAGGGGGAGGGAAGGAGGCTGCTTTGGCCGGGAGGAAGCTCAGGGCCCTGAGATCCCAAGGCTGCCAGCAAGCCTAAGGGGAGGGAGCTGCGAACCAAGAGTGTAAGGGCCACTCCTGCTGGGGCAGGTGTGAAATGCCCCACAAGTGCAGAAGTCCTTCATGCAGAGGCTTCCTGCTCTGGGAGCCTTGCCCCTCTCCCATGCTGCTGCAGTGACTGGGCGGCAGCCAAGGCTGTTGGACCCAGGCAGGCTGGAGATAGGAGCGGATATCGTCCCCAAAGCCCTCATGCGCCTGGGCTGTGGGAAGCCTGATTGGTCTACATGGGGTGCACAGGCAGACTTCTGACTGCCACCAGCCGAGGACCTCCCAGGCCTGGCTCAGGAGACCACAGCAACAGGGTGCTCCTGGGACAGGGCTCAGCAAAGGTGACTTAGAGGATACAGAATGCAACTAAGGCCGGGCACAGTGGCTCATGCCTGAAATCTCAGCACCACTCTGGGAGGCTGACGCAGGTGGATAGCAAAACCCTGTCTCTACTAAAAATACAAAAATTTGGCTGGACACAGTGGCTCATGCCTATAATCCCAGCACTTCGGGAGGCCAAGGCAGGTGGATCATCTGAGGTTGGGAGTTTGAGACCAGCCAGACCAACATGGAGAAACCCTGTCTCTACTAAAAGTACAAAATTAGCCAGGTGTGGTGGCACATGCCTGTAATCCCAGCTACTCCAGAGGCTGAGGCAGGAGAATCACTTGAACCCCAGAGGCAGAGGTGGCGGTGAGCCGAGATCGCACCACTGCACTCCAGCCTGGGCAATAAGAGCAAAACTCTGTCTCAAAAAAATAAAAATTAATAAAAATTAACGCAGCTTGGTGGCACCCGCCTGTAGTCCCAACTACTAGGGAAGCTGAGGTTAGAGGATCACCTAAGCCTGGAGAGGCTGAGGCTACAGTAAGCTAAGATCACCCCACTGCACTCCATCCTGGGTGACAGAGCCAAATCCTGTCTCAAAAAAAAAGAAAAGAAAAGGGATAACTCACCTAAAACTTTCTTCCAAGAACGCGGCCAGAGATAGTGTGCCCAGCTAGCTGCTGGCCAGAGCCCTATCTATCACAGCGGAAGTAGCTGCGACTGGGGTCCAGTAAATGTTTACCACTGTGTGGACAGAAATCGTTCGCTGTGCAGCAGCAGAGGCTGGGAAAGTGAACTGGGCTAGTACCAACGCGGCCACAGTGCCCTCCAGACCTGCGCTGGGCAGCGTGTGGGCGTCCTTTCGTTCAGTTCTCCCTGCAGCGCTATGAGGACCCTGATTTGACAGGGGAGGAGAGGGGCTTAGAGGGTCCTCACAGTTCTGGAGGCTGGAAGACCTAGGTCAGGTGCCACCAGGGTTGTTTCTCTCCTTAGCCTGTAGACCACACCTTCTCCCTGCGTCCTCACAGGGTCTCCCCCATGGACGTGTGTCCTTACCTCCTCTTCTTTTGTTTGTTTTTGGGCTTTGGGTTTTGTTTTGTTTTTTTTGTTTGTTTGTTTGTTTGTTTTTTTAGAGAGATAGAGTCTGTCTTTGCCACCCAGGCTGGAGCACAATGGAGCTCACCGCAACCTCCGCCTCAAGGGTTCAAGCGATTCTCCTGCCTCAGCCTCCTGAGTAGCTGGAATTACAGGTACTCGCTGCTACGCCTGACTAATTTTTTTGTGTTTTTAGTAGAGTCAGGGTTTCACCATGTTGGTCAGACTGGTCTTTAACTCCCTACCTCAGGTGATCCGCTCACCTTGCCCTCCCAAAATGCTGGGATTACAGGTGAGAGCCACCACGCCCGTCCTACCTCAGGAAAAAAAAGAGGGTGGCCTAGGGGTCCCCTGCTTCTTGTAAGGACACCAGTCAGATTGGATTCGGGCCCACCTCAATGTCCTTGTTTAATGTTAATTACCCCTTTAAAGGTCTGTCTCTAAATAAAGTCACATTCTGGGGATTAGGACTTCAACATATGGATTAGGGAGACGAAGTTCAGCATGTAACAGTGAGCAAAACAGACGGGCGGGAGGCCAGCCCCGGCAGGCTCTGGAGTCCCCACTCCCGACCATGAGGCCATCTGCCATTTGCACGGCAGGACAATAAAAACACGGGCTGCAAAGAAGAGTTTAACCTGGAAAACTTCCCATGAATGTTAAATGACTGATACTAAATTTTAAAACACACCCTGTCTAAAAACAATGATTCCAAATACATTCTTTTTTTTTGAGATGGAGTACCACTCTGTCACACAGGCTGGAGTGCAGTGTATGATCTCGGCTCATTGCAACCTCCACCTCCCAGGTTCAAACGATTCTCCTGTTTCTTCCTCCTGAGTAGTTGTGATCACAAGCACACACCACCACACCC